ACACAGCCGGAGGCAGCCCGGCGGCCCCCGGCTGGAGGTGGCGGTAGGAGGAAGAGGAGAAGCCATGCCTGAAATGCTGGAGCAAGCTTTTGTGTATCGCCAGCGCCGCCACGGCAGCGCCCTGGTGTGCTTCTGCCGGGGGAAAGGCGCTCGAGGGTGAGGAAAGCGAAGAACGGCATTTTGAGAAACATGAGGGGCTTTTTAAAGCAGTCTTGCTCGACAGGTCGTTTTTAATAACTGCCGGCACACACGTGTTGTTGCTGTGGTTGCTGAAGGATTCTTTTCTGCGACTTCAGTAGAAGCACGCTTGGTGGTCAAAACGACAGTGTTTTTTGCCCGTCTTTTCATTCCTGTGCTTTTCCTTCCTTATGAAGGAGCAGAGAGCTTTCCTGCGAGAACAGGCCTGGAGGCTTCCTGCAGGGCTGCAGGTCACCATCCCTGAATCTCTGTGGGCACCAGGGAAAAGGGGGGAAAACACTCATCTGAACCATTTTGAAAAGACATTCTTAATGAGCCTTCCTAAAAAAAACCCACCTCTAACTTGACAAGTGTTGTGACTCCTAATGATGGCTTGCAATCGTTAAAGCACTTTAAATGCAATACTTAATACAGCTAAATAAAGCGGGATTCTCATTTAAAAAAGAGCTGATGGGTGTTTAAGATCTGTCAGATCTTAAAATTTGTAATCTGCCTCTGAAACTCCACAGCTGGCAGTAAAGGGAGGGGAAAAAGGCTTTTTCCTGTTCACTGCAGGCCAAAAAATTCCCCAGACCAAAGCTATTTGTGTTTATCAGAACAGCAGCATCTGGCCTAATCTCACTGTGCCAGTGTCATTGGGAGGCTGTGACAAAACCCACAACTATGAAGTAGAAACCTTTTCCCTGAATTCAAAAAGGAAAATAAATTCCAGCATTGATTTTAACATGAATAAACTGACATTTAATTTATCATAGAGCATATCTATGGACATGACAAATTGGAAGCATTACTTGTGGGAGATGCACATACCAAAAGCACAGGGGTTCCTATTCACTTTTCCAGCTTCACATCCAACTGATTGCTCTTTCCCCATAGATATGAATTACTCTCGATTCATCACCTCTGTGAGTGCAGCAAGAAAAGCATCTCCGATAAGACTTCTGAGTGAGTATACACCTGCTCTTTACAGGTTCTCTGGAAGGATATTCTACGTTCTGGACCTTGCTGGGGTGTCATGGCTAAAGACTTGAAAAGGCTTGGAAGAAAACCATGCTGTAAGCTGACAAGCAAGGCCAGTTAAGTCGTGTGACTTTTGTCAAGTTGAGGTGTCAAGCAGGTATAAAGAAGAATAAAGTGAATAGCCTTGAACCATTTCAGAAACCCATCCAGACAGAAGAAATGGTATTGTCACTTAAACATGAGTCTGAAAAATCTCTGCTACCACCTCTGAAGCAGGTCTTTTGGCAGTTTGCTGCTGAATTTACACTGGTTGTCCAGGAGCAAGCAACTGCTAATGACTTGAAATGCAGTCCCAGCATAATGTTTCTTTCCACCTAGCTTTCCCGTATCCTGTTAGCATCCATAAATTCCTCATCACACCCACACCCTCAGTATTACTACACTTTCCTTTTCTATATTACACTATCTTTAGGCTACCATGTTACATAGTCTTCTGTGTCACAGATAGAAAAGGTTAACCGCCTACTTGTTTACTCAGTTGAAACCTACAGGGACCTGACAGAATCAGAGCATGAGACATACATCACCAGTCAAGCCCTCAGGGGTCAATTTCCTCTCTTGGTAAGGGGTTGGCATTTGCTGTTCTGCTTAAAACAGGTACAGCTAAGTCAATTAATTCACTTTTGTCACTCTCCATACTTTTTCAAGTGATACACTGATATGCATCATAACACAAATATGAAGTCGCACAGCTTGCTCAGAAAGACACATTGAGGCTGCAGTTTTGATGACAACGTAAATCTCTTTACCAGACCAAAAGTCACAGACATGACCCATATTGCTGAACTGATAAGAATTAACTCCCCATGCTCAAGTTTGCTAATAAGTAGTGGAGAATAAACTCAATAACAAGAGGCTTTAAGCCAGATCTGGTGTCATCTGTCCTCTCATATCTGATGTAAAACTGTCAAGCCAGCATGAATGCCATATTGTGAGCTCTTGGATTTAATGCAATCAAGTGCCCTTACTGCATAGATTGGATCTGAATGATTGTGAAACTGTGACTTTAAAGCAAGAGTTGTTAACATTTTCTTCGTACTGAATTATTTACACAGTGCCTCTGCCACTGCAGCTGGACTGCCAGAAACAGTCCCACTCCCTGAAAAGCTATAATCATAGATGTAACTATCAGTGTAGCTGCACTAGTGCCACATCAGCTAAAGTGAGACTGAACAAAAAAACAAAGCCAATCATTCCAAGTCAGTCTGAACAGAAGATGATTAAGATTTTAAATTCTTGAAGCTTAAAAGACAGCAGTCACAGAAAAAGTTTTTATAATAGTAGAACTGTCCAGATTAGATAAAAAAGCTATTTATAATTTATTTTAAAAACAAAGATGATTTGTTGTTTTGGTCTGTCCCACCCATGTCTCCCTCCCCACCCCCTCAACACTTATTTAATCCATGTAGAAAGGTGAGTTTAAAAAGAATTGTCATCCTTTTGAATTCATGACAGTTAAAATAAAGTGAAAAATGGAACAAACTTCTCTGGACCATTATTATATACTGACTAAAGGATATGATCAGTGTTGCAATAATCAAATTGTAACCAAGGTCTTTTCCTTTTACTATAGCTGAATTGATGCAGAAGTCTCCTCCATCTCTCATCTCTCTGGCTGGAGGGGCACCAAACCCTAACGTTTTTCCATTTAAGAGGGCTACTGTTGCCATTGGACATGGAACTGCTGTTGAGATTGGGGAAGATCTGATGAAGAGAGCTCTCCAGTACTCAGCTTCAGCAGGGTATCTGTCACAGCTGCTTGCACTTCAAGACACCAGAATCAAAGGATCATAAAATCCTTTATTATTGCATTAAATCACCTGTGCTTTTAAAACCTGTTTTACTGAAACAGGTTTAACTTCTTTCAGTTTGCTTCACTATTTACATTTCAGTTTAAGTGGAAAGTTTTGAGCAGATGAGTAATTTAAAAAAAAAAAACCCTAATACTAGTAATTCTCAAGCCAGAGCATTTCCTTGCTGTTAGTATTTGAGAATCCAGACTCCCAAATCACTAGGAGGAATCATTTTGAGTTTTGCAATAAGATATTCATTAAAAGATACTGCATTGCAATACATAGTTTCCAGATTCTGGAGTATTTGTTTTGCTGTCATTTCTTACCATATATTAAAGTCAGTATGTACTACTTGTGGTAGTTGAATGGAAGTATTTATAGTATTGTCATTTTTATTACAAAAACTGCATATCGTTAGGTTACTTTAGCACTCATGAACTCCCTAGCAGACAGCACTGAGTCAGGCTTGTGACAGGTTTGCAAAAATATTTAGGTACCTACAGAGGCACACAGTGCATTAATCAGTGAAGTTAAGACTTTTCATAATATTTAAATGAACCCAGCCATTTGTGAGCACCCTACAAGATCTTAAGACATACAAAAACTGCATATCGTTAGGTTACTTTAGCACTCATGAACTCCCTAGCAGACAGCACTGAGTCAGGCTTGTGACAGGTTTGCAAAAATATTTAGGTACCTACAGAGGCACACAGTGCATTAATCAGTGAAGTTAAGACTTTTCATAATATTTAAATGAACCCAGCCATTTGTGAGCACCCTACAAGATCTTAAGACATTTTTTGAAAAATCTGTTTCAGAAATCTTTATTATCTGCAGCCTATTACTAGCAGTATTGTGAGCTTTGTCATGCTGCCACATTAAAGATCACTCCTAGGAGTGTATATTGTTCAGCGTCCACCCCTATTCCATCCTTGGCAAATCATTTCCACCCAGAGTTCAGTATGCTAATTTGGTGTATGGACCACAGATGCTTGTCTCCTCTGCTTTTCCATAAGAAACATTTATCATTTCCATCATTTGATAAAGCAGTCATAAAATCAGCATCTAAATGTATCTGTGTGACAGCTGAAATGAGACTCAGGACTGTGTGCTAGATTTGGCAGTGATTTAAAAGGAATGGCCTAGCTTCAGCCTATATAAAATGTTAGGTAGAGCTTATTTTATTCATGTTTCAGGATTCCAGAGCTGTTGTCTTGGCTAAAGGATTTCCAGCGGAATCTACATAATCCCCCCACAGCCAACTACAGTCCTGAACAAGGACAAATGGAAGTGTGTGTTACAACTGGCAGCCAGGAAGGCTTGTGTAAAGTAAGACCAAAAGCTTCATATGTTTAAAACATTTCTTTCAGAGAGACATTTATTCTTCCATCAGTTCAGTTATACGCAGCATTAAGTGCCACTGTATAACTGCATGCAGCGTAGTTTGTTAAATTATGTCTCTCGGTATTATCAATATAGCATAATAGAACTGAAATAAAACTGGTGTGGCAGTCTTCATGTTACTCAAGTAGTGCAGTAAGTACATAGGTGCATTATTTGCTTTAGCATAACTCAATTCTAATTATGTTAGACTTCCTTAAATAATTACCCTTTCCAGTCCACTCTCACTGCTGCTTAGTTGATCCTTTCTGTAACCAAAGCACTGTTTCTATTGTGTAATAGAGCACTGTCTTTCCATTTCAAATTGGTATTCTCTAGCTGATTACCTAGCTTCATTTGGCTCTAAAGCAGATTTTCCATCTGTTCTTTGCTTTTCTCACAAAAAGCATAATTAAGTGGTTAGGGAATTACTAATACCAAGATTTTTTAATCCCACTAAGAAGTCAGAAGTATGAAGCATGTGTACAAGAATGGCACAATCTTTCTAAAATAGACTATTTTCTTTCACAGGTGTTTGAAATGCTCATTAATCCTGGGGACAATATCCTTTTGGATGCACCCACATACTCTGGGACACTAGCAGCTGTAAGTATTCTTTAGCTACAAAACCTTGTGAATGTTACATTTCAAGTAAACAGCAATTTAGTACCTGATCTGCAGACTTGTACACATTGTCTGTATTAAAAAAACCCATATCTAAGAATCAAGTTTTTAGTGTTAGTCCAGTTAAGTTCATAAATACTAATTTGTAGAAGCTTTTCTACTAAATGTTCTATAAAAGCAATTCCCAGGACAGAAGTTCCTCTTCCAAATCCTAGTTCCTTCAAGGGCTAAGGTCACATTTGGGATTGGAAAGAAAGCCATCACAACCTGGTCAGGTTGAAGCAAGTTTATAGCAAGTGGGTATTTTAACATGTCAGCACATTCACCTGAAGTATTTCAGGGTCTGATTATACCATAGCTATAAATAGTATAAAATCGGAATAGACCTGAAACATCCATATATGAGTATGAAGATACAAATTAGTAAGAACTATACAAAAATAGCATGTTTACTTCTAGAAAGTAATTTAATCAGCATGTAATTAAATGTCAGCTCAAAATGCACAAGAACTGAAGAAGGGTTAGAATAGATAATATACCACAATTTTACTCTAGTCTCCCCTTGCATCAAAAGGAATTTTGTTATTGTTTGCTGTGCTAACTTTGAATATCTTGTCTAATCAAATGTACTTTGTTAGAAATATATTTTGACAATACAGCAACTTGCATTTTTACTTAAAAATGCAGAGCACTACATGGTAAAAATTTAAATTCCACAGAGGGGAGACAGCATGCTTCTTTGTTGGTATTTTACCTATATTTTTTCATACTACTGTCAACATGTCATTGCAGTAGCATCATTTCATTCTCCCTTGTATTGCTGAATATATCTGTTGAGAACAGATTCTTTGCCCTTTGTCAGTGAAGGGTGGCTTATAGTTCTGGCACTTCCACTGAAGCAGAGTGTAAATTGCCAGTAGGAACTGAAGGTGCTATGAACTTACTGTCTGTGGTGAGACCATGAGGAGTCGTGAGAGAACACAGTTCAAATTCACAAAATCCCTTTCTGCTTGTAAAACTATGTGTGATTTCCTAGAGAAGAGCAGCAATTGGACATGGGAGCTACTCATTTCTTCTCAGTTGGCTTAACAGGGCAAAGAGTAATGTGGTAAGTTTGACAAGCTTCACAGCAAATTCAGGCAAACTTTCTTTTGAATCACGAGCAAATGGAGTTTGAGATGGCTATAAAGTGAGAAAGACTTTGTATCACTGAAATTTTACAATGCCAATGACAAAAGGAAGACCTTTGAATTATGGGATTATGACAGTTTTGTTCCTCCTATCAACAGCTGAGACCTTTGGGTTGTAACATAATTAATGTTCCTAGTGACCAACATGGCATTATTCCAAAAGCTCTAAGAGAAATTCTGTCTACTTGGAGCTCAGAAGATGTAAAAAATCGTAGCCACCACCTCCCCAAATTCCTGTACACTATTCCGAATGGCTGCAACCCAACTGGAAACTCTCTGACCACAGAGCGCAAGAAGGAGATTTACCAGGTATGTAGCTGGGGTCTCGTGAACCTTGTAGGTGGAAATGGATAAATGTGAGTCTCATTTCAGTTGAGGATACCCCACTTGTGGTGTTTGGGCCCATTATTGGTCTAGTAGACATTCCTCCCAGAACCTCTTTCATGGCAAGTCTTCAGAGGTAGACTATGCATTAGACAAGTTATTTTTGCCGTAGTAGCCCATTGCTGGCTGGTATCTTTGCCATGGGCTTCAGACCAGACATTGTTTTCTGCATAGTGTGAACACTACATGGAACAGACTTTCAGTTACATACATGTGTCCTTGTACTGCAGGTACCATGTTTACTCTTATAATTGCTTGATCTCTAAACTGGACATTTGAAAGCTTCTCTTGATAGGGCCTTCTATATAGTGAATGAGCAATCCATAGGATCATAATATGGTCAATATGGTCCTGGTAATAGGCCCAGGGTATTGGAAGAACTGAATTTGCAGTGTCTTTACATTTTAACAAATCTCTACTTTTTATTCATTTCTTCAGCTTGCAAGAAAATATGATTTCCTTATAATAGAAGATGATCCTTACTACTTTCTTCAGTTTGAAAAGGTAATTTGTCTTCCATACTCCTTAGTAACACCTTTTCTGGTACCAGGACAGAACTAAGGTTTGAGCCATGGATCTTCATGCATGCTCCTTCTTCATGTCCTGCCAAGTTAGTTGTAGGCCTAACAGTCTGTGCTACTTTCAGTTGTTGTCCCCTTTGTGGCATTTTATCACATTAGTGCTGTTAATCAGTGGTTCAAATTCCTCCTTATACAAGACAGAATTTCCTTGATTAGTCAGAAAATGACAAATACTTTGCCTCCAGAGCAAAACAAGTATGCCACTGAAGCAGCACTTGAAAACAGCAGCCTCTTAATGTTCCTTTCAGCCCAGTCTCTCCTTTCATTCTGTGGAAGACAGCCTACTCCCAATCTGCTATATCCCATTTTTACCCCTTTGCCCTTTGGAGAATCCCAGAGAGTTCTCCCAGATACCAGTATTGGATAGGCAGCCTCCCTTCTTCATGTAAATTTTCCCCTAATGGATAACAATCGAGTGTTGACCTGGATTCACATGGGTCTACAGTTGCACAGTCTGCAAAAGTACCTAACCTGAGGAATAAAAGCTGGTCTTACAAAGAAGTAAAACATTAGTAGAAGCTAAAGTTCAGTATTTTCTATTTTGAAATAGTTTTTGTGGGAGGAGGCAATAAAACTGCTTTGCTTACTCATTGAATAGCATTGTGTGGCTTTGTTAGAGAGTGTAAGGGGAAAATGTGTAAAAGTAGAATTCCTGCTAGGGAAAAGGTGTGCTGAACTCAGATCATCAAAATTTGGTCATATCTTGATTTCCTTGTTTAAGATAAAGCTAAAAGCTACGGCGCCCCATCTTAGAAATGACAGTATCTTTCTGTTTACTCCATAAAAAAATCTTGGCCAAGAAATCATTATTTCCTTCTCCTACTTATGGCATTGTACCAAAACTTGAACTGAACACTTGCATGCTGAACAGTGGGCTAAGCATCAAAAAAATAACAAGGCTGATTTCTTGATGACTTTCATAGAATATTGTAATCACATCTCAGACAGCTAGCCTAAACAATCACTTGTCAGCAACTGCAATTTTTTTCCTTGGAATGTGCATCTGTAAAATATTTACTATCAAAATATTTCTTTAAGAAATTAATTATGTCTTCATAGTAAAGAAAATAATTCCATCATAATCCTTACTAGCACCTTGAATTTTATTTTTTATTTTTCTTCCAAGCCATGGGCTCCAACTTTCCTCTCAATGGATGTGGATGGCCGAGTTATCAGGACTGACTCTTTCTCTAAAATTCTCTCATCTGGGTAAGGCCAGCTTCAGACTGCTTAGCATTGCCTGTTCAGTTAAGGCACAAGACTAATACTTCATACAAAATGATCAGACATGTCATAGTGTTTTTTCATCTAATACCTATCCCATTTCTGGAATGTACTTTTGGATCCACAGCTTTTCTCAGTCTTCTCACTTTTCATGTCATCTCTTGGCAGTCATTTAACTCCAGATTCTGTTTTTCTTCTGATACTGGTAGTTAAGCCACTCTCCCCAGGCAGCCCATTCTGGCAGACACCATACAGGCAGAAAGACAGATGTTGGATTCCAGCTCTGTTCCTGGAATTCCTAGGAGCTTTTCTCTCTTATTTTTCTATTTCTCCATCTCTTTCTTACCATTCCTGCAGACTCCCTGAACTTTTAATACAGAAGAGAAATGATGCCATCATTTTCCACAAACTATTCATAGGGTTAATACTGATCTCCCATCTTCTAGCCTTACAGTTCTTTCAGGTTGTTTCCACCTGCCTGAAAAACTAAGCTGGCTGTTTTCCATTTCACACAAGTCAACGTATTTGATTTTTACCTTGCTTTTGTTTATTATTCTAATAGACATAAGAAAGTAATGTGAATTCTGCACTGACAGCTAGTGGATTATAACCCCATCCGTGAGAAAGTGAGGAGACAACATGATGCTAAGTGTGATTGCACTTTCAGAAGCAACACTGCAAAAACGCATGACGCAATTTTATCTTTGTCAAAGATGTATATGAGCTTACTGGTTCTATTTTTTCTTCAAAGAAAAACTTCAGCCTGTCTATAAATATGGGTCATCAGCATTGAAGCATGAATAAGAATCTGGTTTATCAGTCTAAATTCCATTTATTCTGCAGTACTGAGAGGGAGCGAAAGAGTAAAGCCATTTGCCACTTCCCATCTGTTTTTCATAAAGCCTGAGCATTCATGATTTTTCATTATGTGAAAACCTATCTTTCCTTCCCTTTGATTTATGTAATCTTTATGGTTGCAGAGGAAAGCTTACAAGTGTGGGATATGTCCTGAAGCCTCAGAACTAAGAAGCAACTATAAGCATTAAAAACCCTTAAATGTTTTCATTTCACGACTTTGATACTCAGCTCATAAGTTGCATAAACCTGGGGCTTAGGGCAGTATTAAGATATAGATAAACTTAAATGCATAAAAGATCCTTACAATATCAATGAAACAGTTACAGGTTTTCCCAGTTATAAGTTAAACCATAATTCACACAAAGTATTAGCACATTGCATTTCTGTAGTAACTTACTTCTTTTTTTTTTTCCCTTTAGGTTAAGAATAGGTTTTCTGACAGGTCCCAAGCCTCTTATCGACAGAGTTATTCTACACATTCAGGTTTCAACAATGCACACCAGCACTTTCACACAGGCAAGTATCAAACTGCCAGCTGAATTGTATTTAGAGAAGATAACCTATTCCAAGTCATAAGAAACCAAAAACAGACAGCTTTGCATTTGTGCAGTTGCTCTGCAGTTTTGTTTATAAGCACATACATTGTCAATTCTGCCAGAAGAAGAGAGACCACCACAGAAAATACAACCAGAGCTAGAGGGAGTCTCAGTGCACGGAAAGCACAGCTAATATGCCCTTAACCCTCCAATTTCAAGAATCAATATTTAAAATACTTTGTTTCTCTTGCTAGTAGGTTCACTTGAACCTCAATGTAAAGCGTACATTGCACGCACTTAGGGTTTTTTTTCTATTTTCATTCTATTTTGTAATTAGAACGATACTGGCAGCCCACAGAGACACTACAAAGCAGGCTGCCAACTACAGTCCCTTTATAGTTACTAATAAGGAAAGGAGACATTGAGCACATCTAAATATGGCTTCCATCTTCCAGCTTCATTAGTTCATCATAGAGGCAGTATTAAAGCAGAGAGGCTGATATGGGCAGGAGGGTAAAGCAAAATAACATTGCCTTCCTTTTTCTCCCTGATTACCATATTTAGCTCTCCCTCCATTCTTCCCTCCCACCACCCCAACTTCCAAACACTGCCATGATCCTTGGAGACAGCAGTAACATGGACTACAATGGCCTGTTGCTGTTGCCACCTCTGTTTATAAAGAGCTTCAAGAGACCCCGCATGCAATTTCTTGCCTGTGTGGAATTTTGAATAATGCATCAGGCTATATATCTTTTGATGATTGCAGAACAGTCCTATTTAAAATATGGTATTGACGATGTGTTTTATTTCTTCAGATTATGATATCACAGCTGCTTCAGCAATGGGGAGAAAAGGGTTTCTTGGAGCATATAGACAGGTAGGGTCATGTCATATGCTGAATCCCATCATGTGTCATTCTGCTCCTTGTTACCTACACAAAACATTCTTTGCAGTAAACAGGCCAGAGGAGGTGTGTCAGTACTAGGCCAAATGGATAAGCCAGGTCACCAAGACTGACAGTGTTCACACATGAGTCCTGAAGGAGCACTGTGTGAAGTTGCAGACATGCAGGTCAGGGCATGTAACCTGCCAGTCCACTGACACAGTCATTAGGCAGCTCCCATCTGAAGGGAACTCAGGAGGATCCTGGGACCTCCAAGCCTGTGGAAAAAAGCTTTCATCCCTGCTAAAGTGGTAGGGTCTATGGCAAAGGCTGAGATCACTGAGCATATTGTCTATTGAGAAATAGTCAGCATAGCTTCTATAAAGGGAGTTCTTGCCTCACTAACTCAGCAGGGATTCACCCTCTAACATCCTTAATCTAATGATTGTGGATGCTGATGGAAAGAACTACAGAGAGCAGTGAGGTTCACCTCACTTGCTAAACATTGCCTCTATCACTACTTCTGGAGACAGGGCACTGGGCTAAGGCCTAACTCTACAAGGCATTTCTTACATACTGACTGACACACTTTTTTTAATTTGTTATGTTGGAGGAGCATAGTTTCTCGAGTGTCCGTGCTTCATTTCAGATGCCATACTTGGATGCCATTAGAACACCAAGCTTCGTGCTTCAGTGGGTAGCGTGCTATGCTCTGCAGACACCTGTAACAGGAATGTGAGCAAAGCATGGAAAAAGTTCTGTCTGACTGTAAGAGCCACTTCTGTCCCCTGAGCACCTTCCTGTTGTCCATACTGTAAACACCAGTATTTAAAAAAAAAAAAAAAACCAAAAAAACCCCAGCAGACACACCAGTCCTGGCTTTGCCTTGCTTTAAGAAACACAGCATAGATAGGTTTTGCAGAGAAATTTGGATCACGCTTCAGCTCAACTTTCAGCAGTTAGAAAAATATATCCTAAATGCATCTCTTGGCTTACCTCCTTCTTGTAGGCCAAAAAGCATCCTTGCTCAAGCCAGAAGGCTGTCCTTCCTCTTGACTGATAAGAATAGTGCTGTAGTAGGGTATCTGCAACCCTTTATAACCTTCTAGACTCTGTTGTCAGGTGACTTATTGATGAGGCCCAACAGCTGACTGCTATCTTTTCCAGGTGATTTCATTTGGATAAGGTTGACTTGTTAGATCATGCTTCCGAGTAGGAGTTAGCCTGTTGTTTGGAGTAGCAATATTTTTGTGCAAGTCTTGTCTCACTAACACTTAACAATTTCATTCCAACGTGAGAGTAAAATGATAACAGAATGGCAAAAAACTTGCAACAGAATCTGTGATGTTGTAAAAACTGCATAAATGATATTTATCATTTCATGTAGAATGTAGCAATTGGTATAGGCTGAGTCCCAAAACTATATAAGCCTTTGGTATCAGATGTAATAAAATACATCCAGAAATCAAAGCTATTGGTTCAGAGTATAAAAAAAAATCTAAACATAAAATGATGCTAATTATTAAGTATGGTTTCTCTACAGAGAAGGGAACACATTTGCATCTGATTTATGAACTCTGTATCAGGCATTTTTCTGGTGTCTCCTGTTGCAGAATCACAGCTGTCTCATATCAACAAAAGCTAGTGCACAAGGCTTGTCCATGTTGAAACTTGGGCTAGGGTCATTTTCCCCAGTAAGAGATTGAATTATTCCAAGTTTTACTTAAAAGTGTGAAAGAGATAGATAGGCTCAAAAGTTTAGAAAAGGGGAAGCTGTCAAATAGTCATGACATGTTTATCATATGATTTTCTTATTACCTTGTGAAATACCATTTCCATGTGTACCAGTTACACAAATTCAACCCAAATGCACAAATGTCAAGTCTGCTTTTGCATATGTGTAAGACCTTCATTTTCTTCAGTATGGCTGTTTTGCGTGGTAAATATTGCTAACAGGACTTGTATCCACTGATATAATAGACAGATGGATATAATACGTATAAATAATATATAATTTTCCATGTTTCTTTCCAAACAAAAAAAGTTTCCATGACATATGTAAAGAAGCAGCCAAACAGGCACTTCCTCTGGCTGGTTGATCAGTGCTTTGTTGGAGACACACTGAAGCATTCAAGACTTCTCTGATACGTATAAAAAGTTTTATACACACAGTATACTGTATTGTGCCCATCTAGGATATGCTCATATTTCCATTAAATGTGCACTTAGGTTGTTCAAGTAGAAAAGCTTTGTTTCTGCCTTTGAAAACAAATGGACTCTGAAGCGCTATGGGATCATGACTTTGAATTGATAATTTACTTTCAGAGTGGTGGAGTTCTACAGGACTCAGCGGGATGCAATGCTCATTGCTGCTGACAAGTGGTTAAAAGGTCAGTGAGTGCAACACAGCTCATTACTTTGATTTTTTTCTAGCTATTTATCATCTTTGTGTTCAAGAAAAATCACTGAGATTCATCTCTTGACTGAAGTGACAGAAAAGCACTATGAGCAAATCAATGACATTAAATAGTAAGCTTAGGACAAATTATCTAGTGCTGCAGTTTTCATGCTTTTCTGGTGGAACAGGGAAATGGTGATGAGAAAAAAGCTCACCACATTACTGTATAAAGCAGTTTTACAAAGACCATATATTTCACTGCACTATGTTCTTACACTTTTTATGTTTAAAATCTCTCTTTAAAATCTCTGCCTGAAACAACCAGACTTAGTGGCCTTAATTTTAAAAAAGATACAAACAATCGATATAGCAGTAGTGATTATAATGTTTTTGTCAAAAATCAATTTCAGATGTCCCCTTTTGTGCTTAATCATGGAGCACAGAAAGAATTTGATCAACAGTAATGCAATTACAGTTAGTGATTCACTCCTTTTAGTCAGTCTAAGTGGAATCAGCAATAGCTGCTTAAGAACTGCCCACCTACCTGAGATGATACTTCCACAGGACATGGGTACTCGGGCACCACACAATCATTAATGTACTTCCTCTTGCTAATTCCAGGTTTTTAGATAAGGAGTATTTCTTCTTTATCTACATGGCTCTGAACAACCATGGGTTGTTGACCTAGGTAGGCCCTCTTTGTCTCAATTCCTGAAGTATCAAAACAGTGTAATAGCACTGGGCTACCTTGAAGTGTACTGTGAGAATATACCCATATGTAAGACTATAGGTTCTTCATGTTTTCTAGTAATAGGAGCCATAATATTATGGAAGACAGACCTTTATTTTGTAGATATGCAATGGTTAAATATATCAAGGAAGAGCTGGAGAAGATGTCAAGTCAAATAAATAGTTTCTTCAAAAATATATCCAAAACCAGATAAAGAATTCTAGGTAAACAAGAGGTATATAGTAAGTCTGCATACATAATTTAAGACATAAATCCTCTCTAAGCCTTCCCATCCTCTTCATAACTCCTAGGGTCTCCTTTTCTTTGGGGAAAAATCTATAAGCATTGTAACTTAAAGGAAAACAGTTTTGAGCTTTGCAACACTTTAAATTGTACAGATAGTCAATGTGACATTAGGAGAAACTGCATCAGAAAAAATATTTTAGGTTTTTTACTTGATCTGAAAGTAATCAACAAATACCATTTGTTAATGTTTGGGTTTTCTGTAATTCAGAGCAATCACTTTCACAAAAAGTATTGAGGATACCAGCACAAGTGCAATAAGCCCACGCAGATTTGATTAGGAGTACTTTAAATTTTGCACGTGCATCCTGGCTCTGTGGCCCACATTCCCTTTGAGTTTATTGGAGCAACAAATCTATAATATCACTGAATCTATGATGTATCAGTTAAAGGTGGGGCAGAAGTTTCTTTCTTGATTCCCTTCTTTTCTTTCTCTCTCTCTCTCCAGACTTGGCAGAATGGTATCCTCCTGCTGCTGGCATGTTCTTATGGATGAAAATTAAGGGTGTCCCTGATACACAGCAGCTGATCATGGAAAAAGCTTTGCAGAAAGAAGTATGACCTATGGTTTAATGGCTTACCATGTTAAAATGAAATGAAGGAAGGATAAAATAAACTTACCATATCTATCCACACATATGCACACACATAAAAAAGCAGGGGAACTTGCTGTGCACCATCATTGCATCTGCAAGTCAGGCATTGTCACATAGTGAGTCATTAATAAACTATTTTCATGTCTGTATTCAGGTGTTGATGTTTAATCAGCTTAAATTTAAACAATTATAATACATAGTACAATGTCATGTATACAACATACATATATAATATTAATATATGTACCTGTATGAATGATAGCTGTCCACTATATCTTTTTAATAAGAGAAATTAAGTGTGATTTTATTTCTACAATTTATAAGAGCCAGCACTGTGTACTGAGTAAACTACATCCCACCTCACTGGTGCTTCTAAACATTGTGATGATAAGTCAGACCTGGTACACCCACCTGTGGAGGTAACCAGAACCTAAGAGCCCTTTGATTTTGTTACGAAAAGTCTGATTCCAGGTTGCATATTTTTGGCTTCTCATTTTGAAGAGAAGAAATATGTTCAGCCATGTTCTGGTACCAGTGTTTCAGCAGTGAGCCTTCTCAAATTTAATTTAACATCGTGTTTTAAGACTGTAGAATTGGTGATAACTGGGTGACTAATCAATTTTTCTTAGGTGTTACTGGTTCCTGGAGGAGCATTCAATATCAATAGTTCAGAGCCTAGTTCTTACGTCAGAGCCTCCTTCTCTCTGTCTTCTCCAGCCCAGATGGATCTGGTGAGATTTTTTTCAAGACAGTTTCTCACATAATAATGCTCCCTTATTTTTACTTACTTCTCCTTATGTGTTTTCTTGAATGTTAGTGTAGATTTTTGGGAATTAGGTGATGAAGCAGTACTTTTGAATTAGCTGTTTCTTAGGAAGGATACTCACATCCAAATGACCTGAAAGGTACCAAATTTTTAGGACCACTTAAATTTTTTCTGTGTATCTCATCTGTGTAGAGTCTCACACTTAATCCTCCCAGACATTATTCATAAAGGCTTTACTGAAGTTACAGTAAGTTTTGCTATTTGCTTTAGCATTAGCAGGCATTACGTATCTTTTATTTTCCAGACTTTCCATTCCTGACATTGAATTACCTGCTTGCTTTTGTGTGTGTGTGTTGTCAATCCTCTGTAAGAAAGAATATTGTTTTTCTTTTACACCGTTGACATATATGTCGTGTTTCCTTTCTCAGGAACTCATCTCCTATGTATGTTAGGAACATGGATGTTATTTGGCTGTATCTGTAAAATCAGGGGGAAGAAAGATAGGACACATTTATTTATGCAGATTTAATACTTGTTTGATTCAAGTGCTTGAAAAAGTTCAGTGCTTGTAGTTGTACTTTCATTCAGTTGTGAAGGTTTGTAACAAATAAGTGCTTCTATTGCCTTCCTATTTCTTCTTCTGTATTTCTTCTATTTCTTCCTTCTTCTTTGTAAAAGTAATTCCTAACCATACCATTGATGGTCAAATTGTATCTTTTATATGCTTCTCCACTCAACTGTTCTTCCTTTTCTTTCACCTTTGGTGCCTCTAGGCCCTTATATTAAGTTAAAAGAGATACTCTTCCAGGAATCACTAGTTGTATTAAAAGTACAACTGTTTAGTTGCGTCTGAACTCCAAATAACCTTTGAACATCAATATATGTATTTTTCTGTTTCAGAAAACTCTGCCTTCTATTTTCTATCAGAGAAGTGGAAGCTTTGTCCAGTCAAAACCCATACATGTTGTTAATAAAAGGAAAACAGAGAATATCAGCACAATTTTGCAGTATAAAATACTGAGTTTGTATATGGTTAGGGTAGTTTTGGTACCTTTACAGTTTTGGCATGTTGTCTGTTTAAGTAATGCTGGAATATAAACGTGAACCATATCTGTGTCATTGCAGGCCTTCAAGAGACTGGCTGACCTTATAAGAGAAGCTTTGTGAAAAAGCTAAATACAGCTCTTGTGGCAATGAAAATCATCTCCAGAAAATATTTATTAACATTTGGATTTCATCAGAACACTTTAAAAGCAAGCATAATACAGTGGATGTTTCCTTAGATTGTTTCAGCTAAGAAAGCAAAAAATGAAGGACTGAAAAACAATTTGCCTTTTTTTTTTTTTTTTTCAATTGACAGGACATTGCATTACTACATTTATTCCAATTCAGAAACATTTAGAATACTCAAAACCAAAATGTTCTGTTTCCTGTCAAATCCATGGTTTTGTTATATTTGAATTGATTTTTGTTTTGGCTTTTGTTTTCCACTTGGGTTGGGAAACAGGGAAATCAGTTACTTAGGAAGTTGCAGCTGAGGTGATCTGAGCCATTATTACTTAATCCCAACTGATCCATTCCTCCAACACCTTATATTGGAATTGGTTTTGTGTGTCACTTTCCTTCTTGTCCCGCTGTATGGCATCTGATTTTGAAGATTTGAATGTCAGTATTTAATTTTCTAAAATTTTGTGAGATAAAACTGATGTAAGGATGTTAAAAAATTGAAACTGATCCAGCAAAATTAGGCTATGATTACAAATAAAACTATTTGGCCTAAGGTCCCTTGCAATTTGCATGGGGTTTGCAGCTCATTCTCTAGTTTGTAAAAGGTTTTCTGATTGCTGGCTTCCAGTTCAGTCTGTGAATAATTACGCTGTACCTGTGTTAGAAAATCTCTGGTATGCAAAGGCATGTGGATGTGCTGACAGAACTGCTCTCTGCTCTTTGTTAAACAGACGTGTTTTTGAACAGAGAGCGTAAGTAGCTGAACAGGGGACGTAGTGGAATGGACAATGCCCTGACACTGCCAGATGTACAAAGCAAGCAAAATGAAAAAATAAAGAAATCTCTAATAAATAAAGAAATCTCTAATTCCTTGGTCATTATCGTCCCAAACATTTGGTACCTGGAAACATGTACAAAGCTTTCAGAACATTTTAACTGTACAGATTCTCCAAGGCGTCCCATTTTGCTTAGTGACTTAAGTTTTATTTACTGTTTGGGTGAAAGCGCTGTAGTTTTCCACCAACAGCAGATGGTTGTTTCTTTATGTGCAAGTGTTCACTTTGTAATTAGTAAAAATACGTGTTCAAGGATCCAGCCAATCCTTCAGCAGCTCAGGTAGCCCAAACAAATATGGGTCAGGCACAGCCTTGCTTAATTGGAAGTTTCACAAGAGTCATTGTTCTAGTAATAACTGTAATATTCATTCCCTCTTTTCCCCCTCGCTATAAATAGCACGTGTCGCAACAAAGTTGCACAGACATGTGCCTTTCCCAGCATCTCTGCTATCATCAGGATCATTCCAGTGCCTTCAGCCCAGCATCACCTTTTATCTCTATCTCAAGCCATTTAATTCAGTCACACATCCAAGCCATCTGTGCGCTTTGCATCTTCTTGAGCAGCATATCCAAGCTCAATCCTTCCCCTTTTTCCCAGATTACTGCGACTTTTAGTCAAGTCCACATGATTTTCAGACTAATTTTCTCCAGTTTGATATCAGCATGTGATGCCTTTCTTGGCAGACCCATTCAAATTACTTGGTACGGTCCCAACTTAGACTCTGTCACTCCCACCCTCCTCCTGCAAACATGGGGCTGGGTCTGCTGCCCCACGACATCTCATCTCCTGGCTCCCCTCCCACTCTGCTGTCGGCAGCAGGCGGGCCAGCTGACGCGGCGGGTGACGTCAGATCCACCGGGTGAGGTCAGCCCCACCGCAGAGCGCGGCTAGGCTTGGGCAGCCAGGACCCACGGGGTGACACAGTACAGGGAGGGCCCGCAGCCCCGAAGCTGCTCTCGGGGCACCAACGTTGTCTTCAAAGACAAACCTGTCCCTTTTTACGCTGTTTGATGGTGCTAACGGCGGGTCTAAACTAGCAGTGTCCTCTGCGGTGCTGCTTAACAGCAAGCTTTCATGTTTCAACTGGGTTTCTTAACCACGTGCAGAAATTTTGAAAGCTCTGACTTCGCTATCAGTAAGGCAATTTTTATCTTGCGTTCAATTTAGAAAATCATTTCATACAACAGAATGAACTGATGTGTCTGTTTAATTAATACATTTTTACAGAGGAATAAATGTAAACGTCATTTAAGACTGATTTTAGTTCTCAGGCAAATATTATTGTCATATTGTCATTCAGCCAGACCTGAATTAGAAAAACACAATCAAAATACCATTATTAGGCAAGCTTTATGTTGGTGCTGTGTTGAATAATACGTCTATTAACTTTCAGAGATCTAAATGTTAATTTAGTTGAATGTAAGCAAAATGCAGTTCCATTTGCTGCACATTAGATGCTTTTGCTATCAGCTAATTTAGTTTAGAGAGATTTTGGTTTTTTCCCTGTGGTGAAATATCTAAAATTAAATTAGTATCCTGAACAACGCAAATTGAACAATGGCAGTGAAATCATATATGCACATATTGTTTCCCTGATCCACTTAAAGCACGGTTTCTGGTCTCCTGGGAGAGAGCAGTCGCTGTGATTAAATGTTCCTGGAGGAAGCCACGTAGAGGCAAAAGGCTGGGCAACAGGTTCACCATGAAAGAAATGACGTGGCAGATGAGAGTTTTGGTTTTCCCTTTCTGTTTCATCCATCCAAGAGCAAATAACCTCTCTCATTCATAGCTGGGTTTGAGCCATCTGATGCAAGCGACGGCTGGGGAAGGGCGGAGACGGAGGCAGCAAGGACTCGGTGGGGTAAGCACATCCTCGGGTGCCGCCCCGACACGGGCGGCTGTGGAAGAGCCGACAGCAGTGCTGTTGAGCCGCCTGATGTGCGGGCAGCGCCGGGCAGGCTGGGGCTCCAGACTTAATTCTGAGTGGGCAATTACCTGCCCATTCTCTTGCACCTACACTTTGGTTCCACTGGGTTTTCAGGCTTTTGGCAGATGAAAACCACCTGGGAATTCTGGACAAATAGCCACTGCGCATGACCCAAACAGTTCTGCCGTACAAGGGACATAAATCTGAGCCCATCCCACACACATCATGCGTGCACGCGTTGTTCCACACGTTCAGACTTGTGCGACGCACCCCACTTCTGCTTTGTGAGTTTTACAGAGGTAGCAAGGGGGAGCAGTTCTTCCCTGGCAGAATGGAAATATTAACTGTAACAACTTCAAGATAATTCCTGAACTTCTGCATAAAATGCCTTTACAAATTCTAGGTTCACACAGGTCATTGATCTGAAGGAAAATATCCCCCCTTACTTCCAAGCGAGAGCCCTTCAGCACAGCTGTGATTAATGAATAATTGAGAAAAAAAGATGTTTATGGGGTATTCATTAGAAGAGAGAATGTATGTGTGTACACAATATGATGGTTCTTATGTTAAACTGTGAGCGTCTAGCGAATTATTTCATCTAATTGAATGTCAGTCCCTGAGCATCAGTGGCGGTGTCCAAGAATTTCTAGTTTTTGTGGAAAACACTTGGCTCAGTTTCGGGGGATTGTCCCTGAAATTCTGAATGCAAGTTTCGTTTTAAACTTCATCCTTTAAAAATCGTTTGCTCTGTGTGGAACGTTGTATTTCAAAACCTTGTGGCCTACAGATCGGCAGTACTTTCAGTTCTGCCTTTGCAGTCTGGATTGTGATACACTGGGGCAAATATTTACAAGAACTCCATTGAGCTCTGCTGGTGCATGCCCTAATCTATCTTGTTTTCTTTATTATTTAATAACAGGTTTTGAGCAGCCCACTGTAGGCTGTGTCTTAGATGAGAACAGAACGATTGCAGTGTTTGAACTGTAATCATTCTGAATGAAAAGCAGTCTGCGAATACAAAGAAACATACATTTTCATTCTTCTAACATTGCTACCAGGAACACCAGTACCTCACTTTTCTCATAATGGCTGTGGAAGCTATTGCGTAACCTTGCAAAGCTCAGCTATCACCATGGGAGAAGGATAAGGGTCTTGCTGGTTCTTTTTGAGAATGAGTACCCCAGAAATGTGTTAACAAATCTGAATGCTGCTAGAAGATTCCCTCCAACAGAATTTGGAGAATACCTGCAAGATTATATTTTCCTTTTATTTTCAATTTAGGTTAAATCAGATCTGGATTGACATAGCAAGTGACTATGCTGTGATGTGACCTGCAAAAAATTAACATGAAGGTATTTCTGTTCCTTGATATACATAGAACTTTGGAACTTTCTCTACATTTGGCTAATAATGAACTTTGAACCTAAAAGGTTCAAAAGATTAAAAATATTTTCCTGCACTTTCCTCAAAAAAACCCAGGCATTAACAGAGGTAGAATACCATTGGCCTGGCCTAGGATTTTGATTCCTGCTTATTATATGCTGGAATTTCTAACCAGATCCAGCTTGAGACGCCAGCTCTAAAACCCTCCTGGTATGCAGGTGCATTAGCAGATAGGAAACTCAATCTTTTCCGTGCACATCGCCACCAGCCTGTAGCCATTAAGGATGTGGCGGAGCATCTGTGTGGCTCCATAGTACTGGAATGTGCACCAGAAGATTATGTGGGCACATCCTGAATTAGCAGTGGGCAACAGCACTAAAGAAAGGACGAGGTCGCAGCTTTTGTACGCTGCACATTTCAGCATGTAAATGCAGGCCGGATCAGCAGAATGCTGGAGGAGCAACCGCTGCAGTGTCTCTTTCAGGAAGGAGAATATAACCATCTGTGTAAACCCAGAATCCGAGATTATAAAAACAAACTATTTTTTCTGCAGAAATGAGAAGTCTTTTCTGTTCTTTCAGCTTGTTACATCATTTGAATCCAGAAATCCACTTGTCTGTGTCATCAGCATGAATTACCACCAGTTTATCTGCATATAAAAACACTTCAGGAAAAACCTATCCAGTTTGGCTCCTAAGAGAATACTCACTTTAACTGATACAACATTAGCTTTTCTATTGTTATTTAGCCATGAAAATTTAGCAGATGGTAGAACACCTCTTGTGATGAAACT